ATGACTGAAGTGTTGTAATTGGTCTATAGCATAATGAGTAAAAAAAAATGGCAAAGCTTCATGGGATATAAGAACCACAAAGGTCTTTCTTGACCTATGCATTGAAGAAGTTGAAAAAAACGGAAGAAAAGGAACCAGCTTGACAGAGCTTGCTTGGACAAGTATTGGGGAGAACTTCACTGCAAAGATTCGGAGAGTCTATACGAGAATCCAGTTGAAGAACAAATTTGATGCCTTGTGAAAGGAGTGGCAGTTATGAGATAGGCTGCTCCATGAGACAGGCTTGGGTAGGATGCCAAAAGGAATACTGTTAGTGCCCCTGATGATTGGTGGGAGAAGAAAATAGTGGTAATCATTTAACTTTATTTGAGCTTGCATTTTCTCCTATGTTAGTGTTTTTTTTGTATAATGTATAATATTTTTGGTGTTGAATGTGAAAGAAGTTCCAAGCTACGAGAAATTTAGAGAAAGAGGGCTTCAATTTTAGGCTAAATTGACTCAACTCTTTGGGTCTGTAGCTGCAACTGGACCTTAGTCATGGGCACCTTCTTCCATGACACTTCCAAGCGAAGGAGTTCCTGAAGATGATATGGAAGAAGGGTCTGGAGATAGCGATGAAATTTTGGAGGCACCAACTGGCATAAGTGGGGAGTTTAATTCGATCACATTCAATGACAATAGTGGAGGAAGTGGAGGCAACACTGGGATGAGACAGGAAACCATTTGTGGGGTAGAAGCACAGGTAGCATTCGACCTAGTAGCTCATTAGGGTTTAGAAAAAAGGGTGAATCCATGAAGAAGAAACCCACTACCACTATGAAAATAGCGGATGCACTAAGCAGGATAGCTCAAGCAAATGAAATTGATTCTCAGCATGAACATAAAGAGATTTCAGAAGCACATGCTAGGAACCTAGAAGAAGAAGCACATGCTTATGAAACGTCCATTACGGGAGTCATGGAGCACCTTAATGAAGTTGATGAAGTTGTTGATGATCTTGATCTGTTTGGCCGGTGCACAACACTCCTTATGGACAAGCCAGCTGTAAGGGAGATATGTGGCTCTGAAGAATAAAAGGGAAAACTTCTGATCTTCTTGAAGCACGCAACTAAGGATTGAGACTTCATTTGTGGTTCTTATCATAGTATTTGACTACTTTTTATGTTGCTTAGAAGATGACTGTGATAATTTGCATATATTTTTTGGAATGATGTAACCAGTACTATTGTATTATGTGACTACTAAATTTCTGTAAGAATTAAACAACTTATTTCCTTGTTAAATGTTTAGTAATTTCATATCAAGGTTTCTGAATTTTATGTCTATATGCACAGGACAAGACAAAAAATGGTTGATGAAATCAAAATTACGAAAAAGTATCATAAACGATGGAATAAATGGGTTAATCAAGTTGTAGTAGCGGTTGCTGGATACGCCTCTCTTCATTTGTGTAAAGAGCCCTAGCAGACAAGTATTTATATAGGCAGGGCACGGGTAAGGGACGTTTTACAAGGACATTCCACCCATTGTTATAATATGTTTAGGATAGAAAGGGAAGTGTTCTTCAGTCGTTACAGAGAATTGCAACAACACGGTCTAAGGGAAACTAGAAATATTGGGATACATGAAATGGTTGCAATGTTTTTAAATATCATTGGCCATGTGCTTAGTAGTAGGATACAGCAAGAAAGATTTCAGCAATCAGGGAAGACAATTAGTAGACATTTCCATAATGTCTTACTGGGATGTTGTAGACTTGCTATGTTCAATATCAAACCAAAAGATCCAACATTTCAGCATTTGCATACAAAAATACGGCTTGGTGGTCGATATTGGCCCATTTTCAAACATGCTATTGGAGCAATTGATGGAATAAATTTCATGCATTGTTAATGCAACTGAGCAAACAAAATTTATTAACCAAAAAGGAAGAGTGACGCAAAATGTAATGGCGGTTTGCGATTGGGACATGTGCTTTGCTTTTGTATTGGCTGGATGGGAAGATAGTGCGCATGATGCTCGTATATTTGGCCATGCCCTCACAACTCCTTTTATGAACTTTCCCCATCTGCCTCAAGGTATATTTTAAATTGCTACAATTTATTTATGCTTAACTGTTAGAAAACAAAGTCTATTGACACCAATCATATATTTCATGTAGACAAATATTATTTGGTGGATGCTGGCTATCTGACACCCATGGGATACCTTGGTCCCTACAAATGTAAACACTACCATCTCTTTGATTTTCAAAGGTCATCTACACTTGAAAATGAAAATGAGGCGTTCAATTATTTGCACTCAAGTCTACGGAGCACTATTAAAAGAACTTTTGGAGTTTGGAAGAGTAAGTTTGCAATTTTTGGAAACATGCCGAGCTATGACTTTCCAACACAGGTTCAAATTGTTTGTGCAACGATGGCCATACATAACTTCATTAGATCAATATCCATTTCTGATCCTGGTTTCATTTAGTTTGAACAAGAAGGTTCTTATGCAGAAGAAAATAATGATGATGATGATGGAGTTGGATCTTCACATGTACCTTCATTAATAGAATCTTCATCTCATATGGCTTAGCTTCGTGACTCCATAAGAGATCAGATTGTTCACTATATACAAGAATAGTCTTGTCCTTTTTATTTCTTTTTTCTTTTTAGATAATGTAATGTGTTGTTGAAAAAACTACTTGGACAAATATATTTCGTTGCAACCTTTATTATTAAGACAATTAATATTTTATTTTTTTGTGAAAAAAATTATGGGATTTCATCTTTAAAATCTTTAAGAAATAATAATATTTTTTGTTGGCAAAATAAATCATTTTCCTAAAAACATATTTAATTATTTTATTAATATATACACACATTAATTTTTGATTATTTATATTATTTATGTCTTATTTATTATGTTGCCAAATATATATATATTAACAAATTTATTACTTCAAATAAACATATATTATGAAATATATCTTATATGAAATTATAATTTAACCTTATGTCCTTTTGAGTAATTTCTACATATAAAAAAACACTTCTGACAACAACTATCCAAACACTTTCACTTTTTCAGAAAATATTCTTTCAAATCTATTCTTCTCAAAATCTATTTCTAAAAGTTATTTTCCAAAACATGGTTTGACTTCATCCAAACACCCTCTTTATATTAAAAAGAAGCCACATAGGCTGACATATGAGCCTCTAATTCACTAAGTTGGTGTAATTTTACTGGAGAGAGTTTAAATGATGTGGTACTCTCAGAGTACCTAAGAATTCCTCATCTCATTGATCACATATTATAACTTATACATATAAATATATAAATATATATATTTACATATTCACTTGCTCAGTTTTCCTCAAAGATTTGACCATAAAAAACACTCGAGATTCCTTTGCCATAGATGCTCCCTCTTTCCGTAGATGTTAGATCTTTTCATTGTTTTGGACCCTTCTCTTGACTGAGATCTCAATGAAATACTGCATTCATAAAACTCTTTAAAATGATTTTTTAATTATAATTTATGAATAAAAAATAAATATATAAGAAGAGTTTTATACTAGCTTATAATAAATGTATTAAACACTTACTATATAGCTGCTTCAAACAAACTATTAGCTTGCTTCAATGGTACGTATTTTCCTTTCAAACTTAGCTATTCCATTTGAATTTTGTGAAGAGTATCTTGTCTTTATTATTGTTCGCCTATTAAACTTGTTGATAAGATGAATCTATTCTACAATAGTTACGGACTCGTGTGCCTTTAAAATATGTACGCCACATTAGATATATGCCGAATTGACAGATTTAGATGACGAGATCTTATAATTAGCATCAGAGAAAATATTAATTAGTTAATTGTGTTGAATAAAAAATGATTGGTTCTCAATTTAACTTTTCCTAGTCGTGGAATATGTGAATTTTTAATGCTTTTCGTAGCTAATATAATGGTCTATATGTGTGTATGAAAATGATCCAACTCTTTGTTTAAACCATGCCGGTTTTGAGAGAGTCATGAAATTAAATTATTGTCTGGAAGGATGACAACTAAGTATTTTATACGAAGACTAATACTATAAATCTGAATTTTTTTTAAGATTTTCAATATTGAAAAATGAAGAAAAAAATTAGTTACAAAAATATCATTATTAATTTTAGTATTGACTAAAAACGTACTTTTTTTAAAATTAAAAGATTAAATTAAAATATATAAGTAATCGAATGTATACTTTTACCTCAAAAAAAATGGAGCACATGTATAATCAGACTTAAAAAAAGGAGTTAACATCATTTTTAGTTCATGAAATTAACCTAATTTTAGTTTTGGACTCTAAAATTTGAAACAAGTAATTTTAATCCTTAGAATTCTATTTCATTTTAGTTTTGCTCTTTAAAATTTTTCCTCATTTTATTTTTGATCCTTAAAAAAATATTATTCTAGAGACTAAACTTTTGGTTTCAAATTTCATGGACCCAAAGTAAATTGAGTTTAAATTTCAGGAATCAAAGATATAACTTCAAATTTCTGTGACTAATTTAAATTTATTTGACTAAAAATTACATTAACCAAAAAAAGGGGGAATAAGCACTGTTAAATTCACCAAGAGAGCGTGGTAAGTTTAACTTTGGAGAGTAAAACTATGAAATGAAAGGCACGGCAGGTACGAACTATAACTTTGAAAAGATTTGATCCTGTTTCATTCAAAAAGGGAGTCAGTGATGAAGAAGAAGACGACGCCACCACGCATTCGTACATCAGAATCCAAATGCCAGATACTTGACCCCTCTTCTTTTTCCCATTCCAACTATCACCAAGTACAAAAGTTGGTCACCCCTCTGCTTCCTCCCAAAGAGAAAGCCACTAAATCCTAAAACCTAAGGCTCCTCATTAAAAGCACCCGTCTCACAGGCGTAATTACTGCGATCGATCTCTTCATTGATCTTTCATTACGTATCGCTTGAATTAACTCACCGTAATACTGTGGTTTAATTAGTCTTCACCTGCTGGCGGGTATCTCCCCTGCTGCCAAAACGCGTTGCTGCTCTATCTGCATTAATAATCACAATAATAATGCAGCATAGGTCATAACTTGTGATCAGTATCTGTTATTAATTCTAGAAATAATGGGAATTTATGATCCTCATCAAGTAAACAGATAGCTCCACTAATGAGATAGTACGTACTCGGAATAACTCGTGTAGCTTGTTCTTGAGATAGCAATACTCCTGCTCCAGCATCTCCAAAGCTCTCAAGCATCTGAAATTATCAAACCCATCGTGTGAAGCAGTAAGCAACACTCCGTTATCTGCTTCGTGTGTACTGAATATGCATGGTGCATGTGGAAATGGATATAAGTATAAAATAATAACCCAATCCCAAAAAAAAGCCTTAAACTTATAAACCAAATGCAGATAGCAGCAGTAAACTTGAAGAAGAACTGATTTGAAGTGGATATATTGGAGAATTGGAGAAGGAACGTGTAAGAGACCCAGGGCGATTGTTGAGGCGAATAGAAGCACGGAAGGCAACACAGACGTTTCTGATTCTCTTGGCACCGATGCTGGAACTGCTACCCATCAACTGATTCAAATGGATTCCCATTTTCTTCAAGTCTGATGACTCCTTATCCATTCTGCAGAATTAATGGAAACGATCAGAATATATAGTGGATATGAATGAAGAGAATGAATGGAGAGAGATATACAGGAGACATCGAAGAGAGGAGAGGAGTTTCTCGGACTCGTGGAAATAGATGGAGAAAACTTCGGAGACGAAGTAGGGAGAGGAGTGGTCTTGGAGCCGGTGAAGTTGCAGGAACTGCTCGTCGAGGACTTGTTCATGGAAGAGGAAGGAGAGCAGGCGGTTCATGTCGGCCCATAGCCGTTCGCCGCCCAACCCCAGCTGCCACACCGGAACCCCCGTCTTGCCCGGTCCACAAAAGCAACCTCACAGACACATCAACGGCCTTCTCCGCCGGTCCAAGATTATAGATTGATGCTCTCACTTGCCCTGCTTCTTCTCCCACCCCGGCCGGCAGGTATATATACTGCTGCGCCAATGGTTCAGGATATCTTTGGATTGACATTGGACGAAACTAACTTCTAACTTAATTGATTTTTTATAACTGAAGTTAGAGTAAAAGTCAGTTAGAGTATGTCTGGATAGGTGCTTTTAAAAAAGTCAATTGAAGTTAAACGTTGTTTGGATGATTAATAAAAAAGTTAGTTTAGCTATAAAATGACTGAAAAAAATATAGATTTTATTGAATAGTAATGTTTGAAATTTTATATTTTTAATATGATGATAGTTTAAAAAATACATAAATTGTTATGATAAAATATAAATAGTTTATTTGTGAAATTATAAAATAAAAATATTTGTTACGAAGAAAAAATTAAAACACATTGTAGATAATTATTAAATATATATAATGGACAAACATGAATATAAATTAAAATTCATTTGGTCTGAATAAAATCTCATTATGCTAACAAGGAGATGAGGCGGAGGGAAAAATATGAGGATAAATCTGGGATGCTCATTTTTAATGATCACCGTTTGAAACTGCAGTTTGAAAAGTCAAATTTTTCTCCGTTAAGTCCAAGTTGAAAGCCAGAAGTTGGTTAGAAAAGTTAGCCCAGCCAAACAACGTTTTTTTGTCCAACTTAGTTCGCAACCTCAGTTTCACTATTTTCAAAACACTTTTGTTGTTAGAAACGGTAATCTAAACATGCCCCTAGAGTCCGGTTTAATTTCTCTTGAAGTTTCTTCCACATACATAGATACATATATGCATGATTTCTTTTGTAACTTTGATATTTTCAGGAGGCCTATATTGGGTCCATTTAGAACAGCTTATAAGTAAATTTTTAATCGTGATTTATAGAATATGAAGTAAGCATGTGAAAAGAGTTTTATCTCGGTTTACGTAAAACATACTTATAAATTATTTCAATCGTGATAGCAAACAGTGCCATTATTGATCTGATCTCATGGATTAAGGAAGCTGGAGGCAAAAATTCTCAAGGACCGAAAGAAATTAATATTATATATAATAAACGAAATAAAATAATAAAAATTTGAAATAATCATCAAGTTTTAGTCTCAAAGAAGTAAATGGGAATATATGGAGTTTATAAATTATAATTACTTTTCATAGGTCATAAATAAATTATGAATTGTAAAATATATTGAATAAGTCTTTAAAGGCATTAGTTATGAAAGCAATTTTATCAACTCAAGTTGATTTGACTTTAAGTAATAAATATTTTCGTCACTTAAATAAATGATTGGAAATTTAAATCTCAATTTTTGCGCATGTAGCAACTTAATTGAAAAGGATCTATCTTAATATGTTCTCAACATTGCCCTGGGGGAGATAATTATTTGTTGTCTATAGATTCTGACCCCTAGCTTCTACGTACTAAAACCATTACTATTATGTCTCTTATTATAAAATCATTTTAATTAAACTGTACGGTTTAAGAAAATAATTAAAATTAGTTAAAAACAATTAATATATAGTAAATATAGTTTTTTTCCCTAATATACCCCTATATATAAATGAATAAAGGTGAGAAAGTAATAGTGAGATGAATGAAGAAAGAGAATGTATTAAATACATTAAATTAGGGGTAAAATATGTAATACTGTATTAAATACTCAGACAAACTCAAAGAAGATCTTATAAAAAGGAACAAATCCATTCAAAAAATTGGATTTTATAATAAGAGATGGAGGAAGTACATGTTACTGTTATAATTTTTAGATTTCATATAATTTAATAATAATATATAAAAGAATATGTTTATCAGAATAATTCTCATTCCCTCATCATTACTAAATGGGACCTTACGTAATTTAGGCAGTGTCCTTCCACCCATCGCCTTGCTAAAATTGCTGTGCTTTTACATCAACAATTCTTTCATCAGTTTCTTCTTTTTCTTCCGAAACTTGTGGTGAAAAAGTTTGTACCCCATCCATGCCTCCCAAGGATACTTTTATGCTCCAGATGTGTGTGTATTTAGACGTGTCTATTCATTATAATGTTTTAGTTTCTGTGAATAGAATTAAATAATTGAGTAATATATTTATATTCTAAAAGAATCACTTTTTTTTTTGAAATAGTAACTACCTTTATTAGCTACTAATTGAGTGAATACACATGGACAAACTTTACAAAATTTAAGATAAATCGCACTATTTTTTTATATGTTTTATAGTTTATTTTTTATTGATTATTTTGGTGAAGCAAAAGCATATGAAAAACATAATATAACATATAAAATTTATAATAAATCATATTGTATGTAAGTTATTTAGCCAAAAAAATTACTCTCCCGATTCTTAATATATGACCTAATTATTGAGCTGATTTTGTTTCTAAATATAAAACCTATTTTTTTATATTTATCAGTTTTTTTCTAAATTATCTCTATTGATACTTCTTCCACCATAATCAAGTAAAAAAAGGGGAGGATATTAAAGAAGATGATTATAGTGTTTTAGAAAAAATGTGTCATATTTTTTATAATTAACTAACTTACCTAACTTTTTAAATTTAATCAAATTAGTTAAATAAGTCTTATATTAAGGACCGAAAGAACATATGAGAATTACAAATATTACAACTCATTCTCAATTATTAAGACCATACAAATCCAATTTTTGTTGCACTATAATTTGTCCCTTGATATGACATGACCTGTCCCTTTTCTCTTGTGCATTAAAAATATTTTTCATCAATATATCCCTAATTAATGTTTATTAATCGAAAATATTTGTATCTAATTGAGAGCAAATGGAGTATATCAATATATAACAAATTTTTGGCGATAGATATATAACCATCTTTTTAGCGAGCTACTCCTCTGATCCTTAATATAGGACCCAATTCTTAAATTGATTTTGGTCCTAAATATAAGACTCATTTCTCATATTTATCAATTTTCTCTAAATTACCCCTATGAATACTCCCTCAACCATAATTAAGTAAAAGAGAGAGATGAGGCATTAAGAAAGATGATTACGGTGTTTTAAGAAAAATGTGTTAATTTTCTTATAATTAACTAACTTACCTAACTTCCTTAATCTAATCAAATTAGTTAAATGGGTCTTACACTAAGGACCGGAGGAGTACTATTTTTGCAAGTTATAAATATCACTATAACTCAATATTTAGATTTTAGACTCACAACATATGGAAATGAATTATATCAATTATCCAAACATACCTAGGTGCAACCTATCTTTGGTGAAGGCATTTAGTTGTGTGCAATTTATTTCTTTTGTGACTTGTGTGAAGTTTATTTTTAACTACGTGTGAAATAAAAAATATTTGCACGTAATTAAAGATAATTGTATTTTTTATAATTTTTCTAAATAAAAAAGATAAAGGTGCTTTAAACATCTTGATTTTTTTCCTTAGGTACTTCAATATCTCAATCTTTTTTAAAAATGCATTTGCATTCAGCATCCTGATATCATTTTTAGTGTATCTAATAGCTTAATATTTTTTTAAAGTTTTATCCAACACCCTAAGTTTACACTGCTGAATAAGCTAAAAATAAAATTAAAGTGCTAAATGAAAAAAAAAAAAATCAGAGCGCTATCTGTATCATAAGAGAAATCAGAATATCGAATGGATTTAAAAAAATTGGGGATATTGAAGGCATGTTTTTAACTTAAAAAATACTGTAAAAGACGGGAAAATAGTGAAGAAATGGAGGAGAGGTTGGGAGGGACAAACGAGGGGAATGTGGGGGGAATCTAAGGGACCATTTCTCGTAAGGGTGGCTGTGTGTGCGCGTCTGAGGTATGCCCTCTCCCGTCACATCGCCTTCTTCTCTTCCCTCTTCTCCAACCGACACCTTCCTGCAACCCCACCCCTCACTTTCCTTCTTTCTTCTTTCTTTATGCCCAATATGCCCCATTCTGATCTTCATTATTCCAAAAGCTCCTCCCTTTAAACTAATCTTCTTATTGTGCTGTAAAACACAGCTAGTTTTCTGAAAACTCTATAAATAAGTGAAAGCGAGTGAATCATCCCACTTTTGCAGGTTCAGATTGAGATTAGCAGAGAGAGATGGCGGGTGCTGTTAAAAATGGGATTAAAATTTAAAAGTAGCAGCAAAGTGGAGGATGGGTTAATTAATTTTTAATGCAGCTCCCTGCTGTCTGAAACCACTGTTTCTTACGTACTTATCAGATTCAAATGGCTGACTCGTAGGTCGTGAACTGAGAAAAAGCTGCTGCTGGCCGCCACCTAGCCTTTCATCAACAGCACAAAATCATAGGAATATATATTAATACTTCCTTTTACAGTTATAAATCTCACTTTCTTATTATCTCTGAACAACGTCAGGTTCTAGCAGGCAGGCATCCTGAACTTGTGTTTCGCGCTAGTTGCCTGAACTAAGTGTGATGGAACAAGAACGACCTAATCTAAGTTATGGGATTATTAATGTTCTTAAGCTTGGATCTATATATGTAGGATAGTGCTTCATTTTAATTAGTTATATCTTATTAAATTCCTCGACATCATTTGCTTGGAAAGCATGCTCCTTAATTTGTACGCCTGTCCGAGGTAAGCCGCTTAGTTGCCTATAAAATACATATAGTTATATACATCATTAAAATGAACTCTGGTCATATCAGTCAATTCAAAAAAACAAAAAAATAAGGCCAAAAAATAGAGCCAAGGAGGAGTAACATGATTTTTTTTTTAAATATACTTATTTTCAAATTTCCTTGGAACACTTTATAATAAAATCAGGGAGCTTTGCGAGATTGGGATGTTACCTTCAGTAATTAAACAAATACTATTATATTATTGTGCTGTTCGTTATCAAGCTAATGGTATTCTTTTAGTGCATAAGTGGAGGCATCACAAAGCTAGATATTGACGTAAAATAGACACTTCCATTAGAATATTTGAAAAGTGCTTCATCTTTTATCATCTGCAGGGAAGCACTTTTGAAAGCGATGATACCAATGTTGAAGTAAAAATAAAATGTTTATAGCCTAGCCAGACTTCAGAAACCAAAATATCAAGCTTCTTTTATTCACCCGTGCTTTTTGAACGTC